TCAGTTGCTACAATATTAGCGTATTTGAATATTCTCCACTTTTCTCCAAGACCATATATCGATTTTGGTTGTTCTGCTATTGGTCAGAAGGTTTTGTATTTTTACAGTCATTTGTTGTCCTATAGTTTTACTTGTTTATTTCAGGATATATAGCCAAAAGGCTAACCTGAGCCGCGTTTTGAAATGATGCTGTTATCAATTTCCACTAATATACAATCATATTATTTTACAGGCATGGAAATTTGCGATTTGAAGATGTTGAAAAAACTGGAGCAGTATTAGGACATAAAGAACAACCGCCTAAACCGAGTGATTTATGTACGGTCTGCTACACTTCTGGAACCACCGGTAAAAACAAAATAATATAAAAACAATATTTTATATTTGACGAAATTGATCAAACTCGATGTGTTCCAGGAAACCCAAAGGGAGTCATGTTAACTCATGAAAATGTAGTGGCTGGCGTGGTCGCTGTTACATTACAATTAGGAGAGCACAAACCAGTCCCTAGTGATGTAATGATTTCATTTTACCATTGGCTCATATGTTGGAACGTTGCTGTGAGGTAAAATATAATTTCGATTAAAATACCAATTGTAAATTTTGAATCTCGCTAATTTTGAATTCATTATCCAAAAGCATGGAATGTATATGGCGGGTGCATCAGTTGGATTTTTCTCCGGGGACATACGACGACTTACAGACGATATGAAGGCTTTGAAGCCCACAACCATGCCAGCAGTACCCAGGTTACTGAACAGGGTTTACGATAAGGTGCAAAGCGAAATTTCGGGATCAATGCTCAAACGGGCGCTGTTTAGTCTTGCTTTGAGTTCCAAGGAAGCAGAGATTAAAAGGTAAATAGATGTAGGAAGTAATATAGAAGTGATATATGAGCCGTTCAGTGCACACATCGACTAACTCCAAAAAACAGAAAGTGGAGAAAAGCGATGAAGTAATGCACATTGCTTTTAAAAATTCCTGTAATAATATAAGTTGGAAAATATAATGTAGAACGTATGAATACATATATAGCTTACATGTGACGGTATATAAGGTTAATTACAGTAAATAGTGAGTAAAGAATTATAATTCAAGTTAAAGATTTGATATGACTTGTGGAGTTAATCAAGTTGTCAACTGAAAAAAAAAATAAACCTAATTCTTATATATTTGTGTTAAAGCATTTTCATAAAAATAAATGTTAACTGTTGTAATATATTATTTGTGATTAATCAGTAATTCTATAAATAATAATTTCTCTATCAGCTGTATTCTATTATGATTAGAATAATTTCTGTCAATTTTTCGTAGTGGGGGGAATGAATTTTAGGAAGTCCTTTATGTCTCTCAATTTTCCTTTTTCAAAGTTCTAGCTTTATAATATAATAATGACTATTGTATATTATTCAAACATTTTGGTCAACCTGGTACAGACTTTCTTATATTAATAGCTTTAAAATACGTATCTTCATTATAGACACATTTAAATTATACGAGGTCTGTTCAAAAAGTACCCGGAATTTTCGTTTTTTCAAAAAAAAATTTATTTATTCGTCTACATTAATGTGGTCCCCTTCAAAGTAGTCCCCCCCAGATATAATACACTTATGCCAGCGTTTTTCCAATTTTCGAAGCACCTTGATATTCACTTTTTGATATCCCTTGAGCACTCTCAAGCGATTTTCTTCAATCGAGGAAAACCGCCGTCCTTTCATGGGTCTCTTCAACTTTGGGAATAGGAAAAAGTCACACGGAGCCATATCTGGTGAATTTTTGCACTTTGCAACACTTTATTTCATTTTTTACGCAAAATTTAATACAAATTCTTTGACTTTTCAATTCTTCCATTGTAAAAATCGCCGAGCTCAGAAAAACACGTCGAACCTTAGCGACTACCACAGACAAAGTAAACAGTGAATATAGCTGAAAATTTCATCATACTTTAGGGGCATGTATACCAACACAATAAAAAAAAAAATTTTGACAATCAGACACTCCAGACCCGCGAAATTTAATTATTAGTAATTCCGGGTACTTTTTGAACACACCTCGTATAAGATTGGCTTATATAAGATTTCTAACTTTATAAATTTACTGGACACTCTGTTACTTTTCTGTTAGTGATTGTTCTAATGGCTTTGTTGATAAAAAATCTTCATGGAATATTTGGATTAGCTAAAATGGCGCTTTCCTTTTACATGTTTTTATTATATTGTACCAATTATCTAGTGAAAAAATGTCTCGATTTTTTTTGCACGTGACTCAATAATTTAGAGTCATAGGTAAATAGCTATTTCCACTGACCAGAAATTTCATTTCAATTGACTTAGCTCTTATTTCCGTATTTAAACAGTTTCAATAAACTTAAGACAGTTTTAATATTTCTGTTTTGCCGGGTACACGAATTTTAGTATGTAAGTTTGTAACATCCTTGAGACTCTACAGTTTTTTGCCAAACAATCTTAGGGTTTATATTTTTATCAATTCTTATTTGTGATTCATGAAACCCGAAACCCGAAAACCGGTAAGCGGAACATATGCACTACAAAATGGAGTTAATCAAAATGTCTTCTGAAATAAATGAGTTATTATTCAGAGGTCAAAAAAAAATTATGTTTCACAGTGTTAATTTTAATTATTCCGAAAAGTTATTATTATCACTAACAGTTATGATTACACGTAGTTATGAGTACTTTCGCACTAATATCTCAGTTTTTTCAAAAAATGGAGTTAGTCGATGTGTGCACTGAGCGGCTCATATAATGTTTTATATAGCACGTAAGGTAAGGGGCCCAGTTTCTGACCTTTTTAGAGTGACGGTGGAGGTTAAACTATAATAATTAATATAAAACTTAACTTAATGAAGAAAATTATAATTTTATTTATTAGTTTAGGATTTTTAAAATAAAGTAATGTGCATAAAAAAATTATTTGAACTAAATTTATATTTTAAATTGACGTTTTTAAAAATTGACATTAAGAGCTCCAGTTTCTGACCCTCAGAATTCTTCGTGTGGCAGTTTCTGACCCTGACCGTAGCCCAATTTCTGACCCTCAAATTTAATCATGATTAGGTTATGAAGTGCTTACCAATTTTAAATAAACTGAAATTATTATTAAAATAAATAAACTAAATATTTATTCTAAAATATACAGTTTGTTAAAATTTAACGTATAAATAGTTCAAGTCTTGTTATAACATATTACACAAACAAAAAAAATTAAATTAATTATTTAAATTACTTGGACTTTTTTTATTTTAAGAGCTTTTGTTTTTTTTTTCTTCAAGTTTTTCTTTTTTAATTATTTTTTCTGCCTCCTTGATGGCTTTATTTTGGACCTTTCAGCTTTTTTCAATTCTTTTTCTTCTTCTAATTTTCGTTTCTTTGCTTCTTTGTCGTCATGATATTTTAACCACGAATCAGATGTATAAACTGTCGGTACCTTTTCCTTAGCTTTTCGTTTCTTCAAATTATTAATAATTTTATCACTTAAAAGATGTATTTACAAGATTTAAATACAATCTTTCATTTATACCAATGAATATTAAATGTAAATTTATCACTTTACTACGAAAAATAGTAAAAAAATATAAGATAACAATAAATATTATTATTTTTACATTTAATGAACAAGTGACTAAAAACATGTGACAAATAACTTAGCTTTTAGAAGGTTAGAATTGCAGGGTCAACAACTGTGACATACACTTAAAATTGAGCCTAGTTATTGACCCTCAAATTTCAGTAATAAAACTAAATTTAATATGTTTTATAAATATTTTAAAATAAATTTTAATTAATTATTGACTTATTTGTATATTTTTAGTTAGATTTTCGTACTTACATCATAATTAGTGCACGAACTCAATTGTCGTAGCTCCTTACATAAACTGTTTAGACTAAAGCTAAAAAATGGCTTCCACAGTCACTTTTGGTTTAAAAATTTTTTTTTATTTAGTTAATATTTTTTATATTTTTTTAATTGACAATAATGAGGCATAGAATAAATTACTGTCAATTAAGAAAAAAATTATTTTCACATTCAATGTATAGTTTTTTAATTAATTCCAAAAAAAGTTGAAAAGGTCAGAAACTGGGCCAGGGTCAATAACTGGGTCTTTTACCTTATATAAATAATTTTTAATAAAATAAAATTTATAATAGCATCGCGTTTTTAATATCGATATATCGATACTTAATTTAGTACAATTTTCTATTTCCTTTACCCCAGAGGAGTAGTCCGTAATACATCATTCTGGGATCGCGCGGTCTTCCGCAAAATTCAAGCTGGATTCGGTGGTCGTCTGCGGTTGATGGTAGTGGGAAGTGCCCCACTTGCTGGAAGTGTCTTGACTTTTATTCGTTGCGCTCTGGGTTGTTTGGTAGTCGAAGGCTACGGGCAAACTGAATGCACTGCCCCTGTCACGTTGACAGTACAAGGAGATCACATGCCAGAACACGTTGGACCTCCGGTGGCATGCTGTGCCGTTAAGGTAGGAGGATCAATACATATAATTAACTTCCCGTAGGGCAAGTTATAGTAATCGCAAAAAAATCAAAAATGAAAATTTTTATATATCTTCACGTTTCAGAGGTTTCTGAACATTTTGGCATACCTTAGAAAAAATTGATGTATGTGTGTGTGTGTGTGTGTATGTATGTATGTATGTATGTATGTATGTCTGTATGTATGTATGTATGTATGTATGTATGTATGTATGTATGTATGTATGTATGTATGTGTGTGTATGTATGTGCGGATACAAATTTTCGTCGACGATTTCGGGAACACGGATCAACCGATTTGAATAATTCAAAAAACATTCGATTTGTATTGATAAGGAGACGTGCTGATTAGTTTTTGGCGAAGGCAGGTCTAGCCGTTCCGAAGATACGGGGCAAAAAGTGCCGAAAACGGTAACTCAGTTTTTAAGAGAACGGAGCGTCCGATTTGAATAATTCACATTGTATTGACAAGATAAAGAATCGATATAATTTTCATGAAGGTAGGTCTAGCGGTTTCGGAGATATGGAGGAAAAAGTAAAAAAATGAGCCATTTGGCGGTCAAAAATGATCATTAGACATATGCACATCAAATTATCAGATATTTTATAGAGATTTTAACAATAAGTATACATTTTGTTAACATTCCTATGGGTTCCGTACCAATGCTTATGCGTTAGACAGCGACGCGGCGCTTACGCGCTTTATATTTTGTCCCTATGCAGATAAAGCAGTACGATTGCTTTGAAAAGAAAGTTCAGATCTTCCACAATATGTCAAAATAAAGAAAAAATTTTTTTTCAAAAAAAAAAAAAAATTAAAAAAAAAAATTTTTTTTTCAAAAAAAAGTAATTTTTTGTCCAATTTATAGTTTCTCAAAAATCTTATCTTTTCAAAGTAAATTTTTTTCAAAAATGTTAATCGTTTTTAAAAAAATAATTTTTGGTACGGGAAGTTCCAGCAATTTGCCTTAAGGCACGATGCCTTAATTGCCTTAAGACAGAATTCCACTTACAGCTAGTTAAGTTTTTTTTCATCAATAACATTTTGAAATGTAGTTTAAATGTGATGATCGTGCTTGGAGTACAAGTCCAAAATCCCTAATAACAATAAAAATTAAACTAGTGGTAGCATCGTTCTTTAAGGAGGTTCTAGTGTAGAGACTTGAATTTTAGATCATTTTTAAATCATCATAAAAAGGCAATCAATTTTTTATTATTATTTATTTGGCAACGTTACAGAGTACAGAAAAAAATTAAAACAAAAGTTAATAATTTTAAAAATTAGCAATGTTTGAAATAGGGGATTTTAAAAAGTTGACACGTGACCGTGTACAGGATTGCAACCCTCCTATTAATACAAAATAAAAAATATTCATGTAGAATGATGTCGCTATGGTATATACTAGGATTAAGTTAAAAAATAATTTTTGACAAAACGGCGACTATTTTGAAAAAGACCATTATTTGAGTTTCACGATTTTTTAAAAATCGAGAAAATTAAAATTTAGGGATGAGTATATATTATACTAGAGAGAAGTCTATAAAGAAAATTCTCTGGAAATTTCAAGAGTTTCAAGATTTCAAAGTTTCGCAAAAGGATAGAAACAGAAGAAAATAATTCAAATTTCAAAAAATCTTCTCGTCCATATATTCTTGAATAGCTAAGCTTTAAAAATATGAAAGAAACAAAAAAACGATTTTTTGGAATTTCCACACTAGAATACCCCCTCAACGCTAATTTGCTGGAACATTCCGCAATTTAAAACTTTAAAATTTTCAAATATCTTCGAAATTTTGAGAGATTAAAGATTTTGAAGTGTTAGCATCTATAAAACCTATAAATAGAAAGAATTTCCATCATTTATATTATTTTAAATTTCATGCATATGCAAACATTCATTAATATTTAATTTATCCCTGAAGTTAGTGGACGTTCCAGAAATGGAATATTATGCTGCATTAGGAAGCGGTGAGGTATGTGTCAAAGGTCCCAATGTTTTCAAAGGATATTACAAGGATCCTGAAAAAACCTCAGAAACAATTGATGCTGATGGATGGCATCACACAGGCGACGTAGGCACTTGGCTACCAGTGAGTATTCAATTGTTTCGAATGTCTTATTGATTATTTTTAACAATGATATATTTTTCAGAATGGTACATTGAAAATTGTAGACAGACGCAAACACATATTTAAACTTTCCCAAGGGGAGTATATTGTTCCTGAAAAAATTGAAAGCATTTATTTGAGGTCGCAGTACATTGAGCAAGTTTTTGTCTATGGAGAATCTCTGAAGGTTTGTTTGACACAATTTCAACTTTAGAGTTTTAGAGTTTGAAAATGTCGATTTGTTATTAACTTTAATTCAATTCCAGTCATGCATCGTAGCTATAGTGGTACCTGATGTGGACGTAGTAAAATGTTGGGCATCAGAAAATAAAATTCCTGGAACACTTAGCGTTCTGTGTAACAATCCCGAAGTCAAAGAATTAATATTAACTGATTTAATATCATGGGGCAAAGATGCTGGGCTTAAATCATTCGAACAGGTAATTAACATGATAATATAAATCAGTCATGAGAAGTATCACATATGAAGTTATATTAAATTTAATTAATTTTTCAGGTGAAAGACATATATCTGCATCCTGATCCATTTTCAGTGCAAAACGGTCTGTTGACTCCAACTCTCAAGAGTAAAAGACAACAAATTAAATCTTACTTTAAACCTCAACTTGAAGATATGTATTCAAAACTACAATAGGAAAAATATATTCATTAAAGATGATCAATTTTTCTATGATATATAGTTCATAAGACAATAATATTCAAGTAAAAAAATATACCACATTATGAAACTTGAAGAAACAACGTCAATTTGTATGAGTTGTAAAGAAGATGTCATTTATATATAGTGATGTGTAAGAAATTTCTACATTAAATTGTGTAATTTCAAGCATTATGATAGCCAAAAATTCAATTACTCTTCTTTTTTCTTGAAGTCACGCGAATGATCAAGTAGGTTGCAGAATGTATATATATAAGAGTAGTGAATTTTAATGCAGCCTGCCTGCAACAAAAACTTTGAATTTTTACATAATTTTCAAAAATGTATAAATTACTAATTGATAATCAAGTTTATGTATAATATTTAATCAATGCAGCAAAAATATTATCGTTGATTGAGCCACCAATTATTATATAATAATTCTAATGTAATATATTTTAATGTACCATCGAACTTATAAAGCTTACATAGCAATTGGGATAAATAATTTTGATTTAATTGAAAAGAGTGAGTTTATTGAAAGAATTCCCAAAAATAGTTAATTCATAACAATTTAATATCTTAAAATAATCATAAAATTACAATGTATATAGTCTGTACAAAACTTTTACCACAATTTATAATTTTGTACCTTTGTGGAAATATTAATTCATGCTTAATTTTTGATTAGTAATACAGACTCATAAAAGCCTTTTAAAATTAAAATTCAATTCAGGAATAGAATAGATCTAACTTATATTAATGTAGAAATAGTACTTTCCATGAATTTAATGTCCGATCATACAACATTACAGATGAATGACTTTGTTAAATTAGAAATAATAATTAATAATTATAAATACTTTCATACGTTCATTGCCAAAAGATATTCTCATAAACGGGTCCATCAAATCCAACAAATTTCAATTACTTGAATTTAAAATATAATATATGCATTCATAAAACATAAAAATACTATGACTTTTGTCATTTGTGGTAAAACTTGTACTAATACTTGGCAACGAATGAATTAAAGCAACATCTATGATGAAAAGGATAATTGAGAACTATATTGTAATTGATAATTAAATCAAAATTCAATTAAATATTGGTAGAATATGAAAATAGAATTGGCAAATCATTAAATCGGATTTATTACAATATTTAGAAAAGGGTCCTGAAAGGGTTCTTTTACATTAGTACCTATAAAATTTTATTAGGATGTCATGTACTAAAAAAGTAATCATTTTGCTACGCTCTAAAACATTCAACTTACTAGTATATTACATTTTTATGAAACATTGACTTGAACACGATGACAAGGTGCCAAGCCCAAATCGAAATTTTACTTAGATTTTTAGTTAATATTTATCTCTGATCAGCTGGCATGATAAACTTAATGATCTGCTTGATTTTCTTTAAGATTTTTATTGTATCAAGAGCAAGATAGTGATATTTAGGTTCTAATATATTCTTGTTATAATTTATTATATATAATATTTTGATTATATATAAAAATGATATGTTCAGAGTTAAATCTTTTCTATTATTTAATCAAAAGATGCTCTTAGTATCCTGTACTTTACATAGTAAATGAATTTGTTTAACCAAATATTATTATCATATTAGGGTTAAATACAATGACACAATTAGGAATAATGTATTGTATATCGATATGTACTTTGCACCAAAGAATTTGTGGTTAGACATTAATTTTCGATTAGGGTCATTCTATATAAATCTAAATCGATTTTGTACATTGGCATTATGTACCATATACAAGCATTTATGAGGTGAACTACACCAGCACATACAAATTATTAAATATAATTTTATATTATAGAATGACCCTACATCATTTTTATTATTTATAAAAAAAAAAAATCGTTTGGAAAAAGCATAAAGTATTTTCTTGTAATGATTTCATTTTCTTAAAATAATCTTGTCCAGAGATAAATTGTAGAAATAAATGGACAATAGTATCTCGCGAATCTAGATTGATTCATTAGGAAATTGAATTCGAATGAAAGTAGACATTGTTAAATTAGTGAAAACGATTAATAGGATATCAGGATAAATGGTAATTAAGAAGGTAATTAATTTCCAATACTTTATACACACTGTTATCATTACATGTCTCAATACTAATGCTGAATGGAAATTATAAAGCAGTTGGACATAGAACCATGGTGTGCACTTACTGTGCAAAAGTTTTGCATTAAATAAATCGTAATATTTCGACAAAGTAGTCCTGATAGCTTTAAATTAGGAAATTTATTGATGATGTGGATTCTAACAAATTGCGTTGAGAAATGAGTGCAGAACTGTTGTTAAATAAAAGTCTGATTTTTCAAAATTTTCTTATGTAGGTACTTAATTTTGGTCTTACAAAAGCCTTGATGATTTATAGCTTATACTCTCTGTAACAAATCTTAGATAAATCATCTAACATAATGAAAATATAATATTACCCTATACATTCACAAAGTATTTTTAAGCTAATTGCAATAATACATTTTAGATTATTACTATTAAGCAAATATTGGATAAATATTTTTCAATAACTAAGGATGTGTGTGCACAGATAATGAAATTAAATTGGGTAATATTAAAATTTAGTTATGAATCTCAAGTTTATGTCATTTCAAGCTCTTTTCTGATATTTTGATTGGTACATCAACATTATCTTTTAAAATGCAAATGTTATTGCCTATTAGAAACATGCAAATACCGTTCCGATATTGTATAAGTTAGAAAAGAGCTTAGACTAGATATTTTTACTTCATATACTCATAAATAAAATATGTATTGTTTCAATTCGACTTATTTTGTTGGTAATAAATGATATAATAAATATATACACAATAATAGTTTATTTTGTTTATGACTCTACATATTCATATTATATTTAATTTAACAACCAAAAATGCAACTTAGGTGTTAATAAACAAATCATTTCCTTGAAGAAGTTTAATAGAATAGACAAAAAATCTGTTTTTTTTAATAACTCTCTACATTTCGAACTACCCAATCATTTGCTTGAGACCTTTATATGCATATAAAGTTTTTTGTTCATTTCACACTATTTGAACATAATTTATCTGAACCCACCCATCAAAATTTACCTTCCGATACTGACTGTAGTAAATGTACCACAATGAGTGTTGTGTAAATCTATGTTTACTACATAAGTGTTGTGAAACTACTGCAATGAATGTGAATCTACACCAATCAGTGTGAATCTGCTCAAATAATTGAAAATCTACTACGAGTGAAAAGTTGCTAGTAAAATCTATGGGAATATGATAAATATATCAGAGTCGTATCTGCAGATCAAGTTTGCCCCGGTCACCGTACAACGTGCGGTCAAATAAAAAATAGTGGGCCGCATGGCATCGTGCCTTAAGGCAAATTGCTGAAACTTCCCATACCGTAATTAAACATTCGAAAAATGAAAATAATCAATAAATGTTTTAAATAATTTCAAATAGATTATTTATTATAAATACAAACTGTAAACTTATAATAAGTGCTTTTTAAATTAGGCGACGAGCGTATTCAACTTTGTGTATGTTTATAACAATTTTTTTTTAATTTGATTTTTTTTGATAATATAGAAATTTTTCAAAATTTTCAATTTCTTTTAGAAGTTTGAATTTTTTTGGATTTTTTTTTAAAAACGTTTTTTTTTAATTTCCTGAGAATTTGGAAATTTTTGAAAACTTTGTATGATAAGATTTTTTTTTAAATTTTTACATTTTTTTAAGTTTAAAATTTTTGTGATTTTTTTTAAAAAACGTTTTTTTTTAATTTTTTCAGAATCTAGAAATTTTTGAAAATATTCGATTTTTTCTTAAATTTCGAAATATTCTCAAATTATTGTAAAAATCGTTTTTTTTAATTTTGATATTTTTTTAAATTTTTCAAAATTTAGTTTTTTATTTTAGAAAATTATGAAAAGTTTTGAAAATTTAATTTTTTTTGAAAATTTTGATTTTTGTTTTGAAAATTTTCAAAATTACGAAATTTTCTGTAAAAGCATTATTTGCACACGGTCTGCTCATCAATCAAAATGTTTTTTGAAGTAATTTGATCGGATAATCCGTTCTCTCAAAACTAGATAACCGTTTTTATATCCTTTGCGCTTCATACCTCCAAAACGGCAAAATTGCCTTTTGCAAAATCGCCTCGCGATCGAGTACGAACCGAATGATTTTTCAATCATACAAATCAGTTATCCATACGGTCGAAAATGTCGAATACATTTGTCTGAACCATATACGTAAAGTTTATAATTAAAAATCTTGGTGAGGCAAACCCAACCCAAAAAAATTGACACAAAATGTGCACACATTATTAAAATCTCTATAAAATATCTGATAATTTGATGTGCATGATCATTTTTTACCACCAAAAAGCATTTTTTAAATTGTTTCTATTGAAACTTTATAACCGCGCGCTGGACCTGCTTTTCCAAAAATTTGAACAGTTCTTCGTTTAGTCAATTTAATTAAATAAAATGTTTTTTGAATTATTTAAATCGGACGCTTCGTTTTCTCAAAAAATGAATTACCATTAAAACTAATCAGCACGTCTCCTTGAATGATTTTTAAAATATTCAAATCGGTTGATCCGTGTTCCCGAAATCGTCGACGAAAATTTTTATTCGCGCACACACACATCCATTTTTTTAAGGTATGCCAAAATATTCAGAAACCTTTGAAACGGAATATTAAAGAATATTCATATTCGATTTTTTGCAACTACTATAACTTACCCTACGGGATGTTAAGAATTTAGAAAAGTGGTAATGGAAAAGAATGAAAAACTTAGGGAAAACAAACAAAGTTACAAATGAAAAAGTAATGAATGTTTTAGAAAAAAAAAATACTACTTCAGAAAAAACTACCTGTACTCAAAACAGTAAAGAAATTGCATTGTGAACGATGTTTTATGCAGGATCATCTTATTGAAAGATATCAGATGAAGAAAAATGCAGAGTAATATAAGAAAAAACGCAGATACCACATTTCATTACATAATTTAATTCCAAAAATGATACAGAAATTTT